CCCTTATTTAAGTTTTCTAGATTCCTGCTATGAGTGAGACCATCTGGTATTTTTCTTTTTCTTTTTGGCTTATTTCGCTGAGCATGATCCCTTCCAGCGCCATCCATGTTGCTGCAAATTGCATGTGTTTATCTTTTTTGAATGCTGAGTAATATTCCATGGTATATATGTACCACATCTTCTTGATCCAGTCATCTATTTTTGGGCATTTGGGTTGTTTCCAAAGCTTAGCTATTGTAAACAGTGCTGCTATAAACATAGGAGTGCAGGTGCTCTTTGGAATTGATGTTTCTGTGTCCTTTGGGTAAATACCTAGGAGTGGAATTGCTGGATCCTATGGAAGCTCTATGTTTAGTAGGTCCAGAAATCTCCACACAGCTCTCCATAGTGGTTGGACCAGTTTGCACTCCCACCAACAGTGCACAAGAGTTCCTTTTTCTCCACATCCTCGCCAACATTTGTTGTTGCTAGTTTTTTTAATATGTGCCATTCTCACTGGTGTGAGATGGTATCTCATGGTAGTTTTGATTTGCATTTCCCTGATTACAAGTGATGTTGAACATTTTTTCATATGTCTGTTGGCCATTTGCATTTCCTCTTCAGAGAAGTTTCTTTTTAGCTCTTCTGCCCATTTTTTGACTGGATTATTTTCTTTGTTGTTGCTGAGTCTCATCAGCTCTTTGCAGATTTTTGTGATCAGTCCTTTATCATTAGTGTTGGGTGCAAAAATGTTCTCCCAGTTGGTGGGGTTTCTCTTTGTTTTTGTTATTGTCTCTTTTGCTGTGCAGAAGCTCTTTAATTTGATGTAGTCCCAGCTGTTTATCTTTCTCTTCACTATCACTGCTTTGGGTGATGTGTCTGTAAAGATGTCTTTGATGTGCAAATCCCGTAGTGTTTCGCCTATATTTCCTTCTATGTATTTTATGGTTTCAGGTCTTATGTCTAGTTCTTTAATCCATTTTGAGTTGATTTTTGTGTATGGTGTGAGGTAGTGGTCAAGCTTCATTCTTTTGCATGTAGCGACCCAGTTTTCCCAGCACCATTTATTGAACAAACTTTCTTTGCTCCAATGCATAGTCTTTGCTCCTTTGTCAAAGATTAGTTGACCATAAATCTGTGGGTTTATTTCTGGATTTTCTATTCGATTCCATTGGTCTGTATGTCTGTTCTTGTTCCAATACCATGCAGTTTTGATGATTATGGCTTTGTAGTATAGTTTGAAGTCTGGGAGTGTGATGCCTCCATTTCCTTCTTTTTTTTTCAGTAGAGCTTTGGCTATTCGGGGTTTTTGGTGATTCCATATGAATTTCATCAATAATTGTTCTATTTCTTTGAAGAATGCCATTGAGATTTTGATTGGAATAGCATTGAATCTGTATATTGCTTTTGGTAGGATGGCCATTTTAATAATGTTTATTCTTCCAATCCATGAGCAGGGGATGTCTTTCCATTTCTTTGTGTCTTCTTCTATTTCTTTTAACAGTGTTTTATAGTTTTCTTTGTATAGGTCCTTTACCTCTTTTGTTAGATTTATTCCCAAATATTTGATTTTTTTTGTTTTTTTTGATTTCTTCTTCTTCAGATTTATTGTTTGTGTATAGGAAGGCTACTGACTTTTGCGTGTTGATTTTGTACCCTGCCACTTTACTGAATTGATTGATGAGTTGAATTAGTTTTTCTATGGAGATTTGGGGGTTCTCTATGTATATTATCATATCATCTGCAAATAGTGATAGTTTGACTTCTTCTTTTCCTATTTGGATTCCTTGGATGTCTTTCTCTTGTCTTATTGCTCTGGCTAGGACTTCCAGTATTATATTGAAAAGCAGTGGTGAGAGTGGACATCCTTGTCTTGTTCCAGATCTTAATGGAATTGCTTTCAGCTTTTCACCATTGAGAATGATACTGGCTGTTGGCTTGTCATAGATGGCCTTTATGATGTTGAGGTATGTTCCTTGTATCCCAAGAATTTCAAGGGCTTTTATCATGAATGGGTGTTGCACTTTGTCGAAAGCTTTCTCAGCATCTATTGATATTATCATATGGTTTTTATATTTCTTTTTGTTGATGTGTTGGATAACGTTGATTGATTTTCGGATGTTAAACCATCCTTGTGCCCCTGGAATGAATCCAACTTGGTCGTGGTGAATTATCTTATGGATACATTGTTGGATTCTGATAGCTAAAATTTTATTGAGGATTTTTGCATCAGTGTTCATTAGGGAGATTGGCCTATAGTTTTCCTTTTTTGTGTTGTCCTTATTCGGTTTTGGTATTAGTGTAATATTGGCTTCATAGAACGTGTTTGGTATTGTCCCTTTAAGGCAGTATTTTCAAGAAAAAAGTGTAAAGCAAGAATTTATATTCAGCCAAAATATTCTTCAAGTGAAAATACTACATTTCTGATTCTAATCTAATAAGTATAGTTCTATCAATATAAAGGAAATAATGATATTAATTAGTATAATAGCGCTAACCTTTACCAAACCATATAGTTACTGTGGGAATTATTTTTCTTTCTTTTTTTTTTAAAATATGTATTTATACAAGAACAGGGGGTACAAGCCAGATGCGCAGGAGGGTGAGAGGCTCACCAGAGACAGAGTGGGGAACAGAACAGGCAGACGACCGAAATACACTGCTGAGGGGAGCAGTGGGCAAGACAGGAGAGGTCTGCTGTGCCATGTGGGATTCTCCCTGGCTGGCCAGCATCGAACCCGTGCTGCAGAGGCTGCGGATAGCTTCACAGTGCTGTGCTCAACCGCCTGCGCCACCAGGGAGGCCCTGTGGGAATTATTTTTCCCCTCTCCCCAAGAAGTTGTTAATTAATTTCCAATAATTACCAAATAATATTAAGCTTCTTGCCCCCACCACTGCTTATCATAGCATATATATGTTTATTGTTGCATGTATCTCTTAATTTTCTAACAATCCATCTTTTCATGGGCCATTTGCCTTTCTACTTTACAGAGTTTTTTTTTATATCTGTCTCATTGGTGACTCCCTATTATCTGTATCTCCATCTACAAAGTGAAAGGGTGAACATGCAAAGATGTGTGTCCACATAGCATGAGAATACTTATTAATAGTTTTCTCTTATAAATAAAACTTGTCAATTTTTGATAAACAGAATAATACATTTAAATATGTAATATGTTCATCAGTAGTGGTATCTTAGAGCAGGCAACTACTCAGTGGGTATACAAATAAATATTTATATATATATTTTTAAAGATTTATTTATTTATACAAGAACTGGGGTATAGGTCAGAGGCTTGAGAGGGTGAGAGAATTCACCAGAGACAGAGCAGGGCAGGGCTGGGGGTGGGGGAGGCAGAACAGGCAGACTGACCGAAGACACTGCTGAGGGGAGCAGCAGGAAAGGTCTGCCACGCCATGTGGGTTTCTCTCTGGCTGGCTGGGAATCAAACCCTCGCTGCAGAGGCTGAGACAGCTTCACAGCACAGTGCTCAACCTGGTGCGCCACCGGGGAGCCCCAACAAAGATTGTAACAGGGTGGTCCCCAGGAAAGGGGGAGGTTCCAGGTTTCTTGCCCCACCCAAGGGAGGGTGGAGCTGAGCAGGGAGAGAAGAAGCTGCAGAGGAGACTGAGGAAGGAAGCAGGATGGAGCCAGAAGGAGACCTGGAGGAGGCGCGTGAAGCCTAGAGACACGTGAAGAAACTGCACTTGTCTTTTGGTCGTGGACAGGGTGACATAGATGTGGGTGAGACCCATGGGGAGGTGACAATGGCAGCTTTTATCTTGATTTTGATTTTGCTCTTTTCCTTCTGGGCTTGTCTGGTTGTTTCTGACCCTTTTCTGTGGGTCCCCACTGGAAGATGCTTTAGACTTGTGGCAGGCTTTGGGGACTTGCTCTGGGCCGATCCCATTTGGATGGAGTTTTACCCACAAGGGGACGGGTAACTTTAGGTGCTTGATTTAGAAACTAGATTCTTTGGGCCTCCCCGGTGGCGCAGTGGTTGAGCGCTGGGTTGCGAAGCTGCCTGCAGCCTCTGCAGTGCTGGTTCGATCCCCGGCTGCTCCCCGGCCACCAGAGGAGGGTCCCACATGGCACACAGACCTCTCCTGCCGCCCGCTGCTCCCCTCAACAATGTACTTCGGTCCTTCTGCCTGCTCTGCTCCCCTCTCTGGCTCTGGTGAATTCTCTCACCCTCCTGCACTTCTGACTGTACCCAGTGCTTGTATGTATCAATCAATCAATCAATAAATCTTTAAAAAAAAAAGAAACTAGATTCTTTGCCTTTCCTGTATTGTTTCCTAGTTGTATTAAACTTCCTTCCCATTAAAGTCTCATGTTTTGTGTTGATGCGGCAGATGGCAGAACCCATTTAGAATAGGTAGGTTTGCGGGGTTTGGGCTGCCCCTCTCCCTGCCCTGTAACAATGTATTTTAATCTTCCAAAAGACATGGTCCAGAATTCAGAATTCTTTTGTGTTCTGTTACCTGACTTGACTCTATCACCTTCTAAATGATCTTGGTCCTAGGTTCTAATCTTACACTGTTTTATATTGTTTCCTATCCATGCCATTTTTTTCATGTTTCTATGTCTTTGTCATTTTTCTTTGTTCCTAAAATTTACATCATCATTTTGACCACCTAATGAAATCTAATCTGATAATACAAAAATGTAAATAACTATCCCAATTTGTGACCATTTTATTCTATCATAAAACCTACTCTACATATCACATTTCAGCATTTACTTTGCCTTCCTGTCAGAATGTAAGATCCTTGATAACAGGTATAGTTGCTTTCACTCATCATTTTATCCCTAGCAGAGTTCCAGGCAAGAAGTGATATCTCATGAAATATATAATGAACAAATATTTTATCTATGTATAAAGCATAATACAGAGTAGTAGTAAATCTAAATTTTCCAGAGTAAATTCTATAGTTAGCACATTTAGAGCTAGTTTATGCATCTTTTCAATGGCATTTTACTCTGATCACTTCAGTTTGAACTGACGTATGTTTTACAGGGACCAGTGACATTGAAGGACATTATTGTGGAATTCACCCCAGAGGAGTGGAAGTTACTGAACACTGCTCAGAGGATGCTGTACAGAGATGTGATGCAGGAGAATTATAGACTCCTAGTCTCTGTGGGTGAGAAAAATTTCCCCATATATAACTAATAGCTTACATTTCCTTTTCTAGTTGCTGGACTCCCACAGAGTTGAATGGTACTGTAACAGGGTGGTCCCCAGGAAAGGGGGAGGTTCCAGGTTCCCTGCCCCACCCAAGGAAGGGTGGAGCTGAGCAGGGAGAGAAGAAGCTGCAGAAGAGACTGAGGAAGGAAGCAGGATGGAGCTAGGAGACCTGGAAGAGGCGCATGGAGCCTAGAGACACGTGAAGAAACTGTGCTTGTCTTTTGGTCGTGGACTAGGTGACACAGATGTGGGTGAGACCCGTGGGGAGGTGACAATGGCAGTTTTTATCTTGATGTTGATTTTGCTCTTTTCCTTCCGGGCTTGTCTGGTTATTTCTGACCCTTTGCTGTGGGTCCCCACTGGAAGATGCTTTAGACTTGTGGCAGGCTTTGGGGCTTTGCTCTGGGCCAATCCCATTTGGATGGACTTTTACCCACGAGGGGATGGGTAACTTTGGGTGCTTCATTTAGAAACTAGACTCTTTGCCTTACCTGTATTGTTTCCTAGTTTTATTAAAGTTCCTTCCCATTAAAGTCTCCTATGTTTTGTGTTGATGCGGCGGATGGCAGAACCCATGTAGAATAGGCAGGTTTGTGGGGTTTGGGCTGCCCCTCTCCCTGTCCTATAACAGTACTAGCTTTCTTTCAGGGGTCAAAGTTGATGAAACCATTTTGGGATAATTTGTCGCCACTTTTGCCATTGAGAGGATTTAATAAATATGCCAAGTATAAGTGGGAACTTAGTTGTTCAGGTCCTAAAAAATGTACTTTCTTATCCTGCAGAGTCCCTAAATGCCAAGAAATTTGTATTATTTATCTTTTCCATCATTAGGTTATCGTGCAAATAAACCAGGTGCAGCCTTCAAGTTGAGTCAAGGAAAAGAGCCATGGATATTAGAAGTAGAATTTCCACATCGGAACTACCCTGGTAAGTAAGAAATATAACCCATGTTATTAGTGAGATAGCTTGAACCTTTTGAAATAATTACCAGGAATCTTTTTGAAATACCTTGCATTTTTTGATCGATAAAGCACACTTGATCTTTTTATGTAAGCTACATATATCATACCTCCAGTTTTTATTCTCTCTACCTGTATTCCCTCCTGTGGTTCACATTTTTAAGTTGAGCTACCTCTCTTTCCTATATACAAAATCTAATGCCTGCCTAACCTTGTCTTAGACTTGAGTTCATCTTTTAAAAACAGATTTCTAGTTACTTCCTGCCCTTGAAATTTGTAGCTATAAAGCTAAAGTATGAATCTAACTTATTTTTAAAAGCCATTTCCTTTCTTTTTTTTTTAAAGATTTATTTATTTATTTATTTATTTATTTATTTATTTATTTATTTATTCATTTATACAAGCACTGGGTACAGTCAGAAGCGCAGGAGGGTGAGAGAATTCACCAGAGCCAGAGCAGAGAACAGAACAGGCAGACTGACAAAATACACTGTTGAGGGGAGCAGCCAGTGGCTGGAGAGGTTACAGCTTACTACTTCTTGTGCACCCAAAACACATGCCGGTATCCATTTCATCCACTCTCTTAAATATCTTTCATATATCTGATCTTGTTTCATATGTATCCAAGTTAACCTTGTATAAGACCCTATCATATAATTTTTCTTGTATTTTTCCCACAAATGCCATTAAATTCCAGCACCAAGCCTCTGTTCATAATCTTTCACTTTATTTCAGGCATTTAAAGATGAATGAGTATAAAGATCATAAAGGCTGTGGAATGATACACTAAATCAGAGCAGAGATGTGAGAGCTAAGATATGAAACCAGAAGTAGGGCTAGTATTGAGTTAAAAGTAACGCTGTCTTGAAAATGCTGTATTTTGTGGTAAAGATTGAAAATCTGTGGTGGTACAAATGGGGATTCTTCCTGTTGTAGGCATGGATCACTTTCACTCTTCTTTTAAGCTTTCCTTTTGGAATTATATATTCCTAGGTCTTCTGTCCAAAGTAGTAAAAATTAAGTCACTAGATGGAGAGTAAAAACTGAAGCTATATTCCTCTACTTGAGAAATTGGTTTTCTGAGAAAGTCACTTTAGTGTTGACACCTATATTGTGATGTATGAGTAAAGAGAAAATAAAAGGGAAGTATAGAATCTGCCAATTACTGGGAATCCTAACATAGTATGGTGAGAAAATAAATTATTGAGTAAATGGGTATAATAAAGATTCCAGCCCAGGTGCAATTAACATTCCAATGTACGCATAATTAACAAGTTTGTGGACTTAGAACTTTTTCTTTAAAAGATTCATTGTCTCAGCACTCCTATCTAAACAAAGTTGTATTTCAAAGAGTCAGATAACTGGTGGAGCTGGTCTATCTCTACTAGGTAATCATTTCCTCCATCCCCTACCCCTCTCTCCCAGACTCCCCTTTTGTGTGGGAAGCCACTTTGCTCACTTTTTTCTCTCTACCAACAGTTTTGCTGATTGTAAAACCATGTATCAATCTATGTGACAAATGTTGAGATAGTTATGTGTAAAAGGAACCCTTTGTCTTTAAACCAGGGCTCAGACCTTAATGGGCTATCCAGGTCTGAGACCTCCTGCGTGTATGTTGAAGCTTTTCCTCATCTCACGATTCCTAAAGTACCGCTTGTTTGTCCTCTGCCTGGGTAAAAAGCCAGAATATCTATAACAAGTAAACTAGGTATGAGGAGAAAAAGAACTATACTTTAGCTTCTTCATCCATTTAAATCTTTTCACTTATGTTTGTAGTGAACACAGTTGTTTACTAATTTTTCTTATCTCCTTTTCATTGCTTTTTTTTTTTTAAGATTGATTTATTTATGATACCAGATCTGGGGTACAGGCCAGGTGTGTGGGGGACTGAGAAGATTCACCAGTGGCAGAGTGGGAAGCAGAACAGGCAGATCTACTGAAATACACTGCTGAGGGGAGCAGCGGGCGAGTCAGGAAAGGTCTGCTGTGCCATGTGGGTTGCTCCCTGGCTGGCTGGGGATTGAACTCATGCTGCAGAGAATGCAGGTAGCTTCACAGTGTTGTGCTTAATCCCTTGTGCCACCAGGAAGGCCCCCCTCTAGATTTTTAATGTACTTACAAAGTGTCACAGCTACTTGGGCTTAGAACTATCTTCCTTCTCCAGTTTTCCTTCTCCAGCTACTTTTAGTTTGTGGAATGAAAGGAAACTTGCATCTAAAAGTTCCTTCATTTGTGGATATTGGCCTGAAGGCTAAGAATCAACCTTATCACCATAATAATGTATTAAGATTCATATACTGTTTTGGATTCTTTTGTAGAAGACCTATGGAATATTCATGATCTCGGATCCAGAAACCAGGAAAGAGGAGCTGAAAGTTCAAGGCAAGTTACAGAATTCAATTTTAAGGCTAGAGGCTTTGTAAGAAAGAAACCTGAAGGGGGGTTCCTGGATGTAGAACACTAGTTAATACTAAATGTTAGGAAACTAACACTGGAGTGAATGCCAAAGAATATAATCCAAACTGGACCCTTTTTCATAGCACAGATTTTATTCAGGATCAGGAAAGTCAAACTTTGAAACAGTCTCTTGACTTTTCTGAATTACCAAATAAAGGAAGCTTTAGTTTAAAAAGTAGAACTTAGATAATTGAGACACCCTGTGAATATAATGCAGGCAAAGATTCCGTCCATAAAATAGCAAAACGCAAAGTATGTCAAAGAACATCTGTAGTGGAAAAACCCTATGGAACTCATGTATATAGGAAAGTAAAAATCAGTTCTCAGAGTTAGTTGGAAAAAACAACAGCAGGCTGGATAACAGTGCCTTATACATTAATGAATTTGGAAAATTCTTTCTAGGGATGGAGAACTCACAGAACATCAGACATCTCCTACCACAGAGAAAGCTTACAAATGTAATGAATGTGGAAAGTCCTTCTACCGGAAGACTGCCCTCATTGTACATCAACATGGTCATTCAAAGGACAAACCTAACGCTAGAGAGAAAGCCTATGAATGTAAAGAGTGTAAGAAAACTTTCTGCCACCTGTCATCTCTCAGTAGACATTTGAGAACTCATGCAGGGGAGAAACCCTATCAGTGTAATCAGTGTGAGAAATCCTTCTATCAGAAGCCGCACCTCATGGAACATCAAAAAATACACACAGGAGAGAAACCATTCGAATGTAATAAATGTGGAAAGTTTTTCTATGTTAAGGCATACCTCATAGTGCATCAGAAGACACACACAGGAGAAAAACCGCATGAATGTCAAGAATGTGGGAAATCTTTTTCCCAGAAATCACACCTCACAGTACATCTGAGAACACATACAGGGGAGAAACCCTATCCATGTAAGGAATGTGGGAAATCCTTTTCTAGAAATTCACATCTCAAAACACATCAGAGAAGTCACACAGGAGAAAAACCTTTTCAATGTAAGGAATGTAAGAAATGTTTCTTCCAGAAGTCTGCCCTCACAGTACATCAGCGAACTCACACAGGGGAGAAACCCTTTGAATGTAGCAAATGTGGAAAAACCTTTTTCTATAAATCAGACCTCACTAAACATCACAGAAAACATACAGGGGAGAAGCCCTATGAGTGTAATGAATGTGGGAAATCTTTTGCTGTAAACTCAATCCTCAGATTACATCAAAGGATTCACACAGGAGAGAAACCCTTTAAATGTAAGGAATGTGGGAAATCCTTCTCTCAGAAGTCACATTTTATCATACATGAGAGAAAACACACAGGGGAGAAACCTTTTCAATGTCAGGAGTGTAAAAAATCTTTTATTCAGAAATCAAAACTCACTGCACACCAGAAGACACATACAGAGGGGAAAAGCTTATAAAGGTATGAACTGGGAAATTCTTCAATTTCATCTTTCAGAATTATCAGACCGTTCACACAAGACATAAATCTTGTGAATAGCAAAAATACTGGAAAATTTGAGCCACAACCTTTCCTTATTGAGAAGATATATGCAGAAATTAATTCTGTAAATCTGTAAAGGAGAAATTTTTATCAATATTAGATTTTACTAAATATCAAACAACATACATAGCAGAATCCTGACAAATTATAAAACATGAGGGAAATCTTTCATAAGTCAAACTTTATTGTACAACATAGAGATCACATAGGAGAGAAATATTCTATAAGTAAAGTTAAGTTTCAGGGAGTTTTTTGTCAATGTAGCCATCTCTAGACTTCCCAAAGCTCATAATGAGTGAGAGACTACTATCAGTATCTTAAGCGTTCAGAAATCTTTATATCAGTTGGACTAGAACGCTCAAAGGGGATAACTGGTAGATTGCAACAGCTAGAGAAACCTTTATCAAGAAGCGATGCTGCAGTCAGTGTCAGATCATTGGTACTGGGATAGAAAACCTTTATAGGTATTTTAAATATGTGAAAGTTTTTTTTAACAAAAATTCAGAGTATTTGTACTGAGGGAAGTAGTTATAAGTCATGTTGGGTCTGATTCTAAGGTTTTCTTTTAAAGAAACCTGCAAATATGTATTTGTAGGTAGCTTTTTAAAAAGCACAAATAAATTGAATAATCAGGCTACATCATTAAAAACACAGAATCCTGTAGTATGTAGGACTTACTGAGTGTGTATTGATATACTACAGAACAAATTGTAGCTGTCTGATGTCCATGTGGAACCCATTCATGATTTATGTAGGGAAATAGGTAACTTTAGTTTTAATGATGTTTATGTGTATAAAGATGTTTCATAGTAACTCTCAGTAGTGACTCCTATTAATATAAGTGTAATATTCTTTTAAAATTATAACACATCTTTTTCTCCTATTCACATGTAAGTGGATATAGACATTGTTACTGAACTAATCCTTGAGAAACGAGCTAAAAATGTTTGTGTAAAATTTTCACTTGTCTCATGTTCAGTCAAATTTTACATTAGGCAGTTTTTACATTTATAGCAAAAACCTGAGTTTTTGGGAAATGATGGAAAACAGTGCTATTGCACTCTTAACAATAAAAACAAATAATGCTATGTAAAAAAATACCTTACTCTGGATGTTTAGCAGGGTGCAAAGCTGTTGCATTTGAATTTTGTATGAGAGTTCTAAACATGGCACAGTGGTTAAGAGTGTAATACAAAACACAACAAAAACAGACAATTATAAACCAGAGACATCCTGCAGGGGAGGAGGAGGGAGAAGGATTGGAGGGAGGGAGGAGCACAGGGGACTGTGGTGCTGGTGCACGGGTGCACTGGTGAAGGAAAGTATGGGGACTGAACCTGAGGTGGGGGGGGAGCAAATATTGTTTAAAAATGAACGATGTAAAAAATGAAAAAAAGTAAGTAGACGCTGAACTACTGTTGCGTAGATGTCAGCATGGGGCATGCTACTTAACCTCTCTGTGCCTAAGGTTTCTATAACAGAAGTGTGTGTGAGACACAAGAAGAGCTATATGTTAGATAGCATCATCATTATAATTTATATTTATTGCAGTAAGCTGCAGAAATAAAAAAAGTAGCTGGCTACCAACATTCACACCCCACATTATTGCTATAGTGCCTTGATTTGGTTTGGTTGTTCATATTTCCATAATTGATTTAGATATGTCCAACTGCCCATTTTTGTAACCTGCAGGCTAAGAATGGCTTTACTTTTCTCAATGGCTGGGAAAAAATTAAAGGTATTTTGTGACATATGAAAATAATATTCAAATTCCAGCGTCCATAAAGTTTTATTAGAACACTAGTACAAACAAAAACCACTCATTTGTTTTGCCTATGACTGCTTTCACACTACCAGGGCAAAGTTGAGTAGTTCTGACAGAGGTGTGGCTCACAGATAGTACTGTATGGCACTTTACAAAGTTTTTCTGTTACTTGGAGCTGAAAACATGATTGCCAATATAGAGGTATACTTTTATATGTTACATATTTTAGAAATTATGCGTACAGCAATTTGTGGGTGGTTTTTGTACGGTATATTTACTTTGTGCATTTATATGTTAAATTCCTAGCATATGCTTCAAGTTTTTTTAAAGAAATGTGGTTTTTACTTGTTGAATTGTCTTCATATCAAAACTAGAAATTTTTCATTGGACTATAACAATAAATGTATTAAATAAACATTCATTTAAATTGTTACTTGATTCTTCCCCACAGTATTCCTTTATTTTCTTCCAAGTGATTGGCCAGTTTTCCCTTTATCATGTCAAGTTATAATTGTCTCATTCTCCCATGATAGAATACCTTCTTTATATCATACTTCACTAATGTAACCCAATAACCAAAAAAACTTACAGTATCCAACTCTTATTAGCTACATTCCTAACAATCAGCATTAGTATATTAGTATTAGTATATACTAGTATTAGCATATTACTAGTAAAGTTCTCTTTTTGGCTGCACTTAATTTGTCAAATGCTGCTGCACTCTAAATCCTGCCACCTTATTTCCCTTCCTAGTGAAGATGACTTTCATGATGTTCAATTTCTTAGGCATGCCTTATTCCAATTTGTCTGATACTTAACACTAATGAACACTTACAATATTTACTAACTGCTTGTGTCTTAAGAATAAAGTATATATACATTGTACTTACATAATTTCTGAATACTCTATGGTATTGTTACCAATATTCTACTCAGCTCTGACTTGGGTATGCCATTTTAGTGGAGGTGTAAGAAGAAATACTTGTCTAGAGATACACCTTTAGAATTCTTTACTTCAACCTGCGGAGAAAACAAATACATTTTCTAACTTCCTCAAGCCCCTCAGTTGAGAATTAAATAAAAGTACTTTCTGGGGTTCTTCTAATAACTGTGGCAGATCTGTTAGTAAGAATAAAGCCTGTAAAACAATACTTTTAAAAAATAATACTCTGATGAAAATAAAATGTTCTTGCATCCAAATTCAAGTAAGCTTGAGATTCATTATTTCTGGGCCATGTTCTCAAGTCAGGAATTAGTAACCTGAGACTTGATGGATTAGAGATAACTGATCAGACATTCACAGCCATTTATTGGAGACAACATCTCAGTACTTATGCTTATGAAAACCAGACAATGTGTGATAGCTCCACATTTCTGAAAGCAAATCAACAGATTTTAATGTGACCATACTCTGGAAAATCAGCAAGTCAGCCGCAGCTTCATTCCGGCAACTTTTAGTTTATGACTGAAAAGTCAGTCGTAAAATTCCCCCTTCAGAATGATTAACTATCGAGTTAGTCTATGGTGAACTTCCAGCAATTCATCAATTGTAGGAATGTCCCTATAATAGTGGCTACAGGTGTAGGATTCTCTTGGCTTTCTGCCTTGTGACCTCAATTACCTCATTGATCTAAGAAGAGTTGTTTTTCCAACTTTTTTCTTACCAATAAGATGAGACATCAGACTCATCTTCCAGGCTCTTTACATTTTGAACCATGTTTGTTCATGGTTTTTGTCTTTTTAGGCTGGTACAGAAAATACCAGGTAGCTTATAAGCAACAAATTTATTTCTCATATTCTGGAGGTTGAATTTTGAGATTAAGGTGCCATCAGGGTTGTGAGAGCCTTCTGGTTTGCAAATTGCTGACTTCCTGTCATATCCTTTGTGGCAGAGAACAGAGAGAGAATGCAAGTGCTTGGTGACAATTACAAGGGCATTAATTCCATCCTTGGGCTTCCACTCTTATGGCCTCATCTAATCCTAATTTACCCCCAGAGTCTACTCTGCTCTTAATACCATCACATTCTGCATTCGAGGTTTAACAAATGACCTTTTGGGGGTTGTAAACATTCAGTCCACAACCAACCAAATTACCTCGTCTTGAGTTTATAGTGTACATATGACAGCTGTAGCAGACAGAATAGTGCCAGGTAAGTGGTAAATGAATCATTGTGTGTGTGGCTGTGAGGTTTCTACATTATATGTGAAGTGGTGCATTATTATCTTTTTTTTTTTAAATGATATTCTTTTTTTTTTAAAGATTTATTTATTTATTTATACAAGCACTGGGTACAGTCAGAAGCGCGGGAGGGTGAGAGAATTCACCAGAGCCAGAGCAGGGAGCAGAGCAGGCAGAAGGACCGAAGTACACTGCTGAGGGGAGCAGCGGACGGCAGGAGAGGTCTGCGCGCCATGTGGGACCCTCCTGCGGTGGCCGGGGAGCAGCCAGGGATCGAACCAGCGCTGCAGAGGCTGCGGCCAACTTCGCAACCCTGCACTCAACCACTGCGCCACAGGGGAGGCCCGGTGCATTATTATCTTAATAGATGGTGAAAAGTTGCAGATGGGTATTCTGATTCCTAGAGCAACTACTATACACGTCGTGCAAAGAGACAGCTAAAAAGCCAATAGATAAAGTGGAATTCTACAAAATAGACAAAACTGAAAAAAGAAATCAGAAAACAACAGAAACAAGTAATAAAATTGTGGAACTAAAATCCATCATATAGATAATTATACTAAAAATGGAGGCAGTGAAGAAAGTATAGATTTAGAAAAGGCCAATCATTACCCTAAAAGGCATCTGTCTCATGTTGGGTATTCGCATGGTCTGTAGGAAATAGCAGGACAGTCCTCTCTACCACACATTGGGTGGATTCTGCCAGCCTGAAGAGTTCAGGGGAATCTCTGGGACCGATAGTCTCAGGTGCATCATTGTAAATTTTGCCATCTCTGTCTCAATTTTCTTTTTTATTATCAATATGGGATTTATTTTTTGGAGGTGATTATGAGAATTTTCTGTCATCTAATCAAAACCTTGCTTTAAAAATTCGGTGAGGGCCTCCCCGGTGGCGCAGCGGTTGAGCGCTGGGTTGCAAAGCTGCCCACGGCCTCTGCGGCACCGGTTCGATCCCCAGCTGCTCCCTGGCCACTGGAGGAGGGTCCCACATGGCGCGCAGACCTCTCCTGCCGCCCGCTGCTCCCCTCAGCAGTGTACTTCGGTCCTTCTGCCTGCTCTGCTCCCCGCTCTGGCTCTGGTGAATTCTCTCACCCTCCCATGCTTCTGACTGTACCCAATGCATGTATAAACAAAACAAACAAACAAACATATAAATAAATAAAACATGCCTCTATTAAAAAAAAATTAAAATAAATAAATAAATAAATAAATAAATAACAATTCGGTGACTGCATATGAGAGAGGGAAATCTTGCACTACCAAAACACTAACAAGGGTGTAAACTAATGGTACTTAAAAAAAAAAAAAAAACTATTAGGGCCTCCCCGGTGGCACAGCGGTTGAGCGCTGGGTTGTGAAGCTGCCCAGGGCCTCTGCGGCGCCGGTTCGATCCCCGGTTGCTCCCCGGCCACCGGAGGAGGGTCCCACATGGCGTGCAGACCTCTCCTGCCGCCTGCTCTGCTCCCCGCTCTGGCTCTGGTGAATTCTCTCACCCTCCCACACTTCTGACTGTACCCAGTGCATGTATAAACAAAACAAACAAACAAATAAATAAATAAATAAAAACATGCCTTTATAAAAAAAAAAAAACTTAATAATTTTTTTTAATTTATAAAATCCATGACTTTCAACAACAAAATGAAAATTTATAGTATCTGTATTTTTAAATTCCCTTCAACACTGAATCAAAGCAAATTCTAAAAACTGAGTTATTTTTAACACATCTGGCATGCTTTCTTATCTCTCCTGTTGTGCTGCATTGGTTGAACCTTTTTGTAAAATAAGCTTTAGGATCTTGAAATAGAAGCAGGATGTGGGACTGGGCACTTGGCAGTTTGACCATCATATGGAGGAACCATTTGACAAGGAGAAAGAAGAAATGTATCCTTGGTCTCCCAAATGTTTAACAAGAACAAGTTTGTCTTTCTATCGTTTTTGCAATAAATTCTCCTTGTTACTATTAAATCTTGTCTTCTCTACAACTTCATAAAAACTGCAATGCATTCCATTCTTCAGAACTTCATTTGGACCTAAGTGTGTTTCCTTTACAATAGTGGTGGAGGGATTTTTTCTGTTAGATCTCAGTTTTCCACTTCTTTCTGAGACTCCTGAATTTAGTACAATAAGTCTGTGACTCCTGTACATATAATATTTGAAATATTGCTGCACTGCAGTTAAACCTTGGTTATATCTTATAGGACATGTCCTCAAATCTCAGGAGATAAGAATCTTTGACTGACTTTTGGAGGTCTGCTATTCATTGTGCCCTATGTTGATAGTTATCTAACTTGCACTTGTCTGGAAGGTTTCAAAGGCAGTCAAGTCACTTATAAACTTTCCATCACCCAGTCCTGTTTAAGTGCTAGACCGATCACAGAAGAAAAATCTACTCTTCCTCATCCTTATATACCACATATGAACTGATAAAGGGATTTTCTCCAGAAAATAGAAAATACTCCTAAGATCATTAAGTATAAAGTGACCTAGTAGAAAAATGAATAATTATTTTTTCAGAAATGGCCATGATTTTCAAATTCATATGGAATTACAAGGAAGTTCAGATAGCGAAAAATAATTTTGACAAAGAATAAAATTGGAGGACTCACATATCCTTATTTCAAATTTTGCTACAAGGCCAGAGTATCAAAACAATATAGAACTGGCATACGGATAGTCATAGAGATCAACTGAACAGAATTTGTTATAGAGCAACCCCGATATTAAACGGGTTCCTGGCTGTGGGTCTTCACCCGCGCGCTTTAAAGGGACTTATGAATACTCTACTACAGACACACACAAAAGGGTTAATAAAAGGTTTATTTACAAGAGGAAAGGAAATAAGGAAAATGTACAACTCAGGGAGAAAATAGGGAAATAAAGTCTTTAATGCGTCCTACCCGATCCGACGACCTGGAAACCCAAAGTCACTCCCAGAGCTGGCCGGAGGCCCCGCGCTGGCCCAGAGCCCAAAATGGAGAGAGAGCCCCCCAAAGCCCACGTGTCTGCCTTTTGTATCCACCTGGCTGCTTAACCCCACCCTCAGGTCCCAGCCACCTTCCCTTTGGTGGTGATGGGATTTGGAGTTCCCAGTGTCTTTGGCTTTGACCTGGGGTGGGGGGTGGAGTCCACAAAGCCTGTATGGAATTTGCTTTGGGACCGCCTTTTCCCCCTAACAATTTGACAATCTAGAAATAAACCCAAACATTTCTGGTCAACTGATTCTCAACAAGGCTGCCAAAACACTTTAATGTAAAAAAGTCTCTTCAACAAATGGCATTGGGATAGCTGAATATCCATGTACAAATGAAATTGGGCCCCTTCCTCATATACAAAACTTACTTAAATATATCAAAGATATATTTATATCAAAGATCAAAGTGTAAGGGGTCTATCTGGTGGCACAAGGGGTTAAGCACAGCACTATGAAGCTATCCGCAGCACTATGAAGCTATCCGCAGCTATCTGCAGCATGAGTTCAATCCCCAGCTGGCCAGGGAGCTACCCACATGGAATAGCAGACCTCTCCTGTCTCACCTGCTTCTCCCCTCAGGGGTGTATTTCAGTCAATCTCCCTGTTCTGCTCCCACTCTGTCTCTGGTGATCGTCTCCTCCCCATTCTGCCCCCCACCTCTGGCCTGTACTCCAGTTCTTGTATGCATAAGTAAATAAAATCTTAAAAAAAAAAGATCAAAATGTAAGAATTAAAACTACAACACAGAAGAAAATAAAGGAGTAAATACGATCTTAGATCTGGCAATGGATTCTTAGATTTGACATGAAAAATACATGCAACAAAGGAAAAGTACATAAACCAGACTTTGTCAAAATTCCTTTTTGAAGCAAAGGCTCTCGTATTGGTGAGAAAATCTATTATTGAGCAAATGGATATGATAAAAATCCCAGCAAAACTTAAAAGCCCAGGTGCAATTAACACTCCAAGGCAGGCATAATCAACAAGTTTGCTTACTTACAGCTCTTTTCCCTTTAAAGATTCATGGTCAGGGCCTCAGCACTCTCTCTTAACAAGGTTGCATTTCAAAAGGGTCGGGTAGCCTGTCAAGCTGGTTTGTCTCTCCAAGGCCAGCTCGAGGTGTCTACTTCTTTCCCCCTTTGTGTCCTCCCTCCCTTGTCTTGGGACTTTGCATCAAATGGTTGGGCCCGCTGAAAAAACAATTCTACCAATGTAACAAATATGAAGACAGTGAAGTATAAAAGGAACCCTTTGTCTTTATTATTTTTTATTTATTTTTTACATCATTGTACTTTAAAAAAATTTTTTAAG